TTTTTACAAGATATATCTATCACAAGCAGTTTTGTTTTTAAAACTATCAAAATCATTTGTAAGTCTAGTAATACTAACAGCACCAGGGTTATTCACATTAATACACTCAGGCTCCCCAGCAGCATGTTGTAAAAACAACTAGGAAGATACTTGAACAATATACGACACTAGAAAACTAGGGATTTTTAGCATTTAGTGAGGTCACAATGATGAAGTGTTATGCCACTGTCAGCAATTTTTGTATGTGTACATTTACTTTATCAATAAAAGCCATCTATTTTTGTATGTGTAAATTTAATTTATTAATAAAAGCCATCAATTGAATCATTAGATAGAATGTTTATCTACTCAAGGAGAGAGTACTAATAATTCTATATTTACTAAGGAGCATACCAAACAATTCACAAAAAATATTTTAGTTTTAATCCCAAAATAGCTTCCTATAATGGAAAAGTAGGAACATTAAGGTCAATTTAGATTAAACACTAGAATCATCTTTAAACACCTAGAAAATAAACATGGTCTGCTGTGAGAGCCTGTTAGTGACAGAAATCAGTACATGTGTCCGTCAACATTGTGAAGTGTTGGAATGATTGCCTTCACTCTCTTATGTTCCAGGTTCTCTTCTACAGGATTTCCAAACAAATACAGCTTAAGTAGTTTAGTATGTGCCAATGGCTTTAATACATCTAGAGATGAAATACCTGTTGATAGTGTTAAGGAAGTAATAAATTGAATTTAGATACTGCAACAAAATTTCTGATAATTTTAAACAAGAGGGCCATGATGGCCCTGAGTCGCTCACCAGAAACAACTGCTTTTCAGTGTTGGAATGTCAATATGTTCTCATATTAAACTTGAGCATAGAATATGTTTAAACAATAATTTGAAGAAATGCCATGACCTTGAGCATTTAAGCTTTAGCTTAAATGGGGCTAATCAAATTAATATGAGCAAACTTGATAAAAGACTACCTAAAAATGCTACAAAGTTTAGTGACCATCTATCAATTATTTCAGTAGGAAATGATGTTCGAAGGTTTTTTTTCTATTTTTAGCTTTACTGGCCCCTAAAGGGGCTAATCAAATTAATATAAGCAAACTTGATAAAAGATTACCCAAGAATGCTACAGACAAAGTTTGGTGATCATCCATCAATTAGTTCTGTAGAAATAGACATTTAAAGGTATTTCTATTTTCAGCTTTTGCGGCCCCTAAAAGGGGCCAATCAAAATAATATTAGCAAACTTGATAAAAGACTACCCAAGAATGCTACAGACAAAGTTTGGTGATCATCCATCAATTAGTTCTCTAGAAATAGACATTTAACGGTATTTCTATTTTTAGCTTTAGTGGCCCCTAAAAGGGGCCAATCAAATTAATATGAGCAAACTTGATTAAACACTACCCCAGAATGCTGTCCACAAAATTTGGTGATCATCCATCAATTAGTTCTGTAGGAGAAGATGCTTAAAGGTTTTTCTATTTTTAGCCCTAGAGACCCCTAAAATGGGCCAATCAAATTCATATGAGCAAACTTGATAAAACACTACCCAAGAATGCTACAGACAAAGTTTAGTGATCATCCATCAATTAGTTCTGTAGGAGAAGATGTTTAAAGGTTTTTCTATTTTTAGCCCTAGATACCCCTAAAAAGAAAATATTAGCAAACTTAATAAAAGACTACCTAAGAATGCTACATATAAAGTTTGGTGATCATCCATCAATTAGTTCTGTAGAAAAAGACATTTAAAGGTTTTTCTATTTTTAGCTTTAGCAGCCCCTAAAAGGGGCCAATCAAATTCATATGAGCAAACTTGATAAAAAACTACCCAAGAATGCTACAAAGTTTTGTGATCATCCATCCATTAGTTCTGTAGAAGAAGACGTTTAAAGGTTTTTCTATTTTTAGCCCTAGTGGCCCCTAAAAGGGGCCAATCAAATTAATATGAGCTAACTTGATAAAACACTACCTAAGAATGCTACAGACAAAGTTTGGTGATCATCCATCAATTAGTTCTGTAGAAGAAGATGTTTAAAGGTTTTTCTATTTTTAGCTTTGCTGACCCCTAAAAGGGGCCAATTGGAATGACATGAGCAAATTCAAGTGTGACTGTCACAAGAATGCTACAGACCAAATCTGCACAGTAGTTTCAGAGAAGAAGAGGATTGTTGACGCATGACGACGGAGGAGGGACGCCGGAGCATCCCCCTTTGATACTAATAGCTCACCCTGAGCCTTCGGCTCTGGTGAGCTAAAAAAACCCATCAATATTGTTGGGAGAAGACCTTTGTGCATTATTTCTTGGGCACCTGAGTAGAACCAGTCCAACATTCAGTAACCAGTGGGATTACTTCAAATGAAAGAACTTTTTTGTGGTCCTTGAACCCACAGTGATAAAGGCAAGTGATACAAATTCAGCACTGGAGACCACTACTATATCTTGATGACAATAATTTTTTGACATAGGAATACCAATAAACATAAATTTAACCTCGGTCCATTTTACAGGCAAGTCAAAAACTTCCCATTTAGTGTAATTTGTCAAGAACTGTTAAATGGTTTAAATGGTTTTTGTACTAACTAATTTGCCTTTGAATCATTTAAAGGTAATCTCTTACGATATCTTATAACTCAGAAATATTTTTTATAATTAAAGGATACAGTTGTCTTTAATTGATAGCTGTTTAAGAGCAGGTAAGAAAGACAACTCCTCCACATCATTTATATGGTTCCCATCTACATGTATATCTATAGCACACTGAAAGCAGCTGAACCCCTTTAAACTGTCCAGTTTGTTATTTGATAAGTCCACTTTCACAACCAAGGAAAATAACTCTGGATGTACAATGCATGTAAGACTTTGATTAGGAAGGGACATCACTCTTGTACCAAAATCCAGCTGTTCAATGTAATTCTCTATGGTAAATTTGCTTCCTGAAATAAACACAAAATACCACATGTTAAAGGCACATTATCCCTCAGAAACAAATAAATCTATACTTCTTTATGATGGACAAACAAATTTTATAACATTTTTATAACCATAGTATTAACTGTTGTTTGCGCCAGAAAATACAATTAATTTCTCAGGCCTCATTTCTCAACTTGTTGCTTCTAAGCCAAAAGTTTATTCTTAGCTTCAGACTTGTTACTGTCATTTTTCCAAACCTCATGTTTCTTAGCCATATAGCTTTTGACTGCATAATCTATAAAGTTTTGGAAGTGATAAATAAAAATGTATAATTCTGTTATCAATCTTCTCTATATGTAGATTTTAAAATACTGACATTTTTTTAACCATCTCTTTACAAAATATCATTAATAAATAGTAATAAAGAAAGCACAAACTGAGGTCTTCATAGTAGTTGAGCCTGACAGGATCGATTGTCTTCAGCTTTGTTATAAATTCTTCTATTTGTTCTTGATGTTCTAATGGATCTAGAGCCTTCATTAATGACACAATAGTTAATAGCACCCCTGAAATTATACTGTAATGTTACATTTTATCACCCTAGAAAACAGTATAACAAGAGGGCCATGATGGCCCTGAATCGCTCACCAGAAACAACTGTTTTTCAGTGATTATAGAAATATTTTTTTCAAATAAACTTGTAGAAAGACAAGTCCAGCTCAACTTCAACTTGCCTCTCTAGTTATAAAGTTTCCCGACACTGATTGTTTTTTTCTTTATAGTAAAAATGATAGGAACCAAGTTTGGTGATCATCCATCCATTAATTTGTGATAAAATTTGCCTATGACTGTTTTTCAATTTTTTTTCTCAAGAATGCTACAGACAAAGTTTGGTGATCATCCATCTTTTAGTTCTGTAGTAGAAGATGTCTAAAGGTTTTTCTATTTTTAGCTCTGTTGACCCCTAAAAGGGGCCAATTGAAATGACATGAGCAAATTTAAGTGTGACTGTCACAAGGATGATACAGACCAAATTTTAGGTAAATCTGCCTAGCAGTTTCAGAGAAGAAAACGATTGTTGAGGCTTGACGACGGACGCTGGAGTATCCCCCTTAGATACTAATAGCTCACCCTGAGCCTTCGACTCTGGTGAGCTAAAAAACAGTATGTTAACAACACTTTTATTTAATGCCTATCATTGATAGCCTAACGTTGTACCATGGGACTGTTCCAATATAACTCAGGTATTGGGAGCTGCAGGGTAGAGTATTTTCTGTATCAGGTATTGGGAGGTGGAGGGTAGAGTATTTTCTGTATCAGGTATTGGGAGCTGCAGGGTAGAGTATTTTCTGTATCAGGTATTGGGAGGTGGAGGGTAGAGTATTTTCTGTATCAGGTATTGGGAGGTGGAGGGTAGAGTATTTTCTGTATCAGGTATTGGGAGGTGGAGGTAGAGTATTTTCTGTATCAGGTATTGGGAGCTGCAGGATAGAGTATTTTCTGTATCAGGTATTGGGAGCTGCAGGGTAGAGTATTTTCTGTATCAGGTATTGGGAGCTGCAGGGTAGAGTATTTTCTGTATCAGGTATTGGAAGCTGCAGGGTAGAGTATTTTCTGTAACTCAGGTATTGGGAGCTGCAGAGTAGAGTATTTTCTGTATCAGGTATTGGGAGCTGGAGGGTAGAGTATTTTCTGTATCAAGGTATTGGGAGCTGCAGGGTAGAGTATTTTCTGTATCAGGTATTGGGAGCTGCAGGGTAGAGTATTTTCTGTATCAGGTATTGGGAGCTGCAGGGTAGAGTATTTTCTGTATCAGGTATTGGGAGCTGGAGGGTAGAGTATTTTCTGTAACTCAGGTATTGGGAGCTGCAGGGTAGAGTATTTTCTGTATCAGGTATTGGGAGGTGGAGGGTAGAGTATTTTCTGTAACTCAGGTATTGGGAGGTGGAGGTAGAGTATTTTCTGTAACTCAGGTATTGGAAGCTGCAGGGGTAGAGTATTTTCTGTAACTCAGGTATTGGGAGCTGCAGGGTAGAGTATTTTCTGTAACTCAGGTATTGGGAGCTGCAGGGTAGAGTATTTTCTGTAACTCAGGTATTGGGAGCTGCAGGGTAGAGTATTTTCTGTATCAGGTATTGGGAGCTGCAGGGTAGAGTATTTTCTGTATCAGGTATTGGGAGCTGGAGGGTAGAGTATTTTCTGTAACTCAGGTATTGGGAGCTGCAGGGTAGAGTATTTTCTGTATCAGGTATTGGGAGGTGGAGTGTTAGAGTATTTTCTGTAACTCAGGTATTGGGAGGTGGAGGGTAGAGTATTTTCTGTAACTCAGGTATTGGAAGCTGCAGGGTAGAGTATTTTCTGTATCAGGTATTGGGAGCTGCAGGGTAGAGTATTTTCTGTAACTCAGGTATTGGGAGCTGCAGGGTAGAGTATTTTCTGTATCAGGTATTGGAAGCTGCAGGGTAGAGTATTTTCTGTATCAGGCATTGGGAGCTGCAGGGTAGAGTATTTTCTGTATCAGGTATTGGGAGCTGCAGGGTAGAGTATTTTCTATATCAGGTATTGGGAGCTGGAGGGTAGAGTATTTTCTGTAACTCAGGTATTGGGAGGTGGAGGGTAGAGTATTTTCTGTATCAGGTATTGGGAGGTGGAGGGTAGAGTATTTTCTGTATCAGGTATTGGGAGCTGCAGGGTAGAGTATTTTCTGTATCAGGTATTGGGAGCTGCAGGATAGAGTATTTTCTGTATCAGGTATTGGGAGCTGCAGGGTAGAGTATTTTCTGTATCAGGTATTGGGAGCTGCAGGGTAGAGTATTTTCTGTATCAGGTATTGGGAGCTGCAGGGTAGAGTATTTTCTGTAACTCAGGTATTGGGAGCTGCAGGGTAGAGTATTTTCTGTATCAGGTATTGGGAGGTGGAGGGTAGAGTATTTTCTGTATCAGGTATTGGGAGCTGCAGGGTAGAGTATTTTCTGTATCAGGTATTGGGAGCTGCAGGGTAGAGTATTTTCTGTATCAGGTATTGGGAGCTGCAGGGTAGAGTATTTTCTGTAACTCAGGTATTGGGAGCTGCAGGGTAGAGTATTTTCTGTATCAGATATTGGGAGCTGCAGGGTATAGTATTTTCTGTATCAGGTATTGGAAGCTGCAGGGTAGAGAGTATTTTCTGTATCAGGTATTGGGAGCTGCAGGGTAGAGTATTTTCTGTATCAGGTATTGGGAGCTGCAGGGTAGAGTATTTTCTGTATCAGGTATTGGGAGCTGCAGGGTAGAGTATTTTCTGTATCAGGTATTGGGAGCTGCAGGGTAGAGTATTTTCTGTATCAGGTATTGGGAGCTGCAGGGTAGAGTATTTTCTGTATCAGGTATTGGGAGGTGGAGGGTAGAGTATTTTCTGTATCAGGTATTGGGAGCTGCAGGGTAGAGTATTTTCTGTATCAGGTATTGGGAGCTGCAGGGTAGAGTATTTTCTGTATCAGGTATTGGGAGCTGCAGGGTAGAGTATTTTCTGTATCAGGTATTGGGAGGTGGAGGGTAGAGTATTTTCTGTATCAGGTATTGGGGAGCTGCAGGGTAGAGTATTTTCTGTATCAGGTATTTGGAGCTGCAGGGTAGAGTATTTTCTGTATCAGGTATTGGGAGCTGCAGGGTAGAGTATTTTCTGTAACTCAGGTATTGGGAGCTGCAGGGTAGAGTATTTTATGTATCAGGTAGTTGATATGATGTTTTGATACACAGTTAAGCCACAAAAAATATCTAAATGACACATGTAAAGAACACAGCATTTTTCAATTAGAAAACAGAAATTAAAGTTTATTTTAAACAAAGAAAATTTGCAAAAATTAAATAAAAGTATTTCAATATGTTTAATCTGAATACAAAAGCTTCTCTCTGTAGACATTAGGCGAAAACCTGTTCACTAACATTTATTTTCTGGTTCCACCTCATACAGTTCCTGTATAGATTCCAGCTCTCTTTCTAATGTATCTGTCGTAGCTGCACTTAATTCATCTCTGAAAGGAAACGTTATGTTACACAATATAATATAGTAAATAATTATCATTACAACATAATAAAGTATTATTGTATTACAATAAATAATTATTGCTAGAACTGATGTGGTACATGCTGTATTGTCTGGAAGGTGTAAAAATAAGAGGTGCAGCAGCAGTTACACAAAGAGCAGAAAATATACTTTTAATATACTACACTCAATTTTTGGATATGGAAAGTAATAACTGCATGTGAAGGTTCAATTTAGAAATTAACACTTTTAGGTAGTTATCCTGAGATATACCTTTGTATAACTGAGATTGGAAATCAAATTTTCAAAGTCATTCTACAATCAATTTTTAAAATGTCTGTGTTTTGTCAGTTTTTTTTACCTAAGTCTATTATGGTAGTAACAAAATATCTATACAGTTATTATGTTTTATTATTGAGCACACATGGTTGTTTAATCATGGTTAATTTAGATCCTTATGTAACTTTAATTACTTATAATATTGTCAATTATTTATATAATATAAAAAATAAATCACATACATCTACATGAAATTATTAATAAACAATTATTATGATACAGTAAATAATACAGTAGATAATTGTAGGAACTTTAATAACACACTAGTTGTCTACTCAATAGTCAAAGAATCTAACTTTTTGCATTCTTCTATTCTATTAAAGTCTGGGGCTAACAAGATAACTAAAACATGCTTACAAGATTATTGGAATAGCTGAAATATCTGCTTGTGTTAGGCAGTGTTTGCTATTAAGTCCTCAGTGATACATCTGGTTTTAAACCAACAAATTAGTCCACCTACCTAAATCTTGAACCTTGCTCCTCCTGGGAGAAGATCCAATGGCACTGTTGCAGTGGTTCTAACTCGATGCTATCTGAGGACCCCCAGTCATCCCCTCCGGCAGCAACCGTCACCTCTATTAACTCCTGGGAGGGAATCCATGGCTCCGAATCTTTCGATTTAAATATGTATAGAATGTTAAGGAAATACATGTCAAAAATAAGTGTGTGTTAACACAGTATAGGTCATTTGGCGACGTTCCAGCTTTACTGGTGAAGGAAGACCTCAGGTGCCCTTCCGTGCGTTATTTCTGGCACGAATATGTACCTGAGTAGAACCACCAACATTCCGTAAGCTAGCTGGATAGCTTCCTCACATGAAAGAATCCAAAGTCCCTGTCGGGATTTGAACCCACAGCAGTGAGAAGCAAGTGGTTTGAAGTCAACGACCTTAACCACTTGGCCACGGACGCCCCATAAACAATATTAGGATTACAAGACTACTGTTTATGTTAACTGACAGGGAGATACCTCATGTGTACCTCCATGCCTTGTTTCAGACATTAATAGGTTCCCCTGTAGAACCACTGACTTCTCTATGATAGCATGGATAGATTCCTCACATAAAAAATACTATGTGGGATTGGACAGCGGTGAGAAACCATTCAATCAGCAAAATTAACATCTCAGCTGTAGGTGCCTCATCTAAAGAGTTTCAGAAATATATCAAATAAATCTTATGTAATTTTGTTTAAATTTAACAAATTTTACCAAATATTCCTAGATTTATTAAAGGTCAACACATTCCACCAGCATGAAATTTCTTTCCTCCGCAATAAGTGATGCCCTTTTACATGTATATTCATACTAGAACCACCAATGTTCTGTAAGCTAGCTGGATAGATTCCTCCAAAGAAAGTATATAAAGTCTCTAACTAGGGATGCAAAGATTACTCACATATTTGCAATTCAGATATTCAGTAATATTTTTAGACCTTGACAATATGTATCAGTGTTTGTTGGTCTTAAGATCGCTGGATAGCCATTCACACCTTTATTTATGGAAAATTCTAATAACTCTTTACAACATAAAACCTTCTGAAAACTACCATTTCACTGTTTTAACTTTGTCTTGTTTTCATTTCACTTCCCTGTTCTCAGACATTTATTTTCAGCTTAACTTAAACTTTAAAGTGTTGTTAATGTCATTCTTGACATTAATCTCTTATTTTTTCATTCAAAATGTCTTTAAAGCAACACTGTAATTTCAATCATGGATACAATCATATAGCCACTTGGCTAGCAATACACAGTTGTTATTTAAACCTACAGCAGTGACAGGCAAGTGGTTCTAAGTTAAGAACCATAACCACTTGACCACAATCAATTAAAAGGATATCCATATATGAGAGTACAGATCTGAGTGATTCTTGTGTGTACACCAAACACCGTCCACTCTTTCTCCATTCACACTAACATCTACTTCACATGTTGATGGTGATATCTGTATAAAGGCAAGAAAATCAAACATGAAATACAATCCAATCTTGAGATTCCAAAGAATTACACTTCAAAGTTGCAAAGTTTTTACTGGTTGAATGCTCCTCTGTGCATGCTTTTAGTTGAGAATCAGAGTTGAATCTTCTTGTATAAGAAAACTTACTCAAGCTAGTACAAGTTGACAGAATATTAATAATAAAACTAAGAAGTAAATCAATCAGACTACATGGATGTGCAGGCTGGCCTGTCACTTTACTGGTTACATAAGTTTGTTATTTTTGTGTTTAGTACTGATTCAATCATGTACATGAATATGGCTCTATTTTATCAATGAAGAAGCAGCATAGTGTAGATGATTGAGCCAGACCAAGACAAGAGATATTGACCACTGTTGTACTTCTCATTTTCAGAGTCAATAAAACTAGAGTCTGGAATTTCCATGTATTTTCATTGTTTACATTGCGCCTGAAGGATCTTCATTGTTGAAACTGTTTATACAAGCAATAATGTTTTAATGCCAAGTTAATTAGTGCATCACCTACAGATCAATGGTGATAAATGTGATGTTGTACCTAAGCTGGACTTATTTCTATTTCTAATTTATCACCAAGGATTGACATTGTTTATAAGATAAACTATACCAGTATAGGCTGTGTTGTTGTAATCATTAACTTCTGTTCTATTCTGTCTACCATCATACATCCTACACCAGTCTTCCTCTTACCTGATGATAAAATAACATCAACTTTAACATTATCTCTGATGAATACAACATACTGTGTTCATTAAACACAAATGACCGTTCCCCCCCACTCCTCCATCAATTCGCTATTTATGAAGTTAAGTTGATAATCCAACAATTATCCCCCAAGACATGGCCATTATAGTTTTATGCATGGGCTGTTTGCCAATTACAACATTCTTCTGGAAGGTCAAGGTCATAATCCAGAGCATAAAAACAAAACTCTTGTCCTGAAGAATAATGTGTTCAAACATACAGGCTGTGAAGATATTATGGCCTTTATTCAAGCTGCTGCAGATGTACGAGCAGACTGGATAAAAAACAATATACTTCTGAAAGTATTTCTACTCTTTAAATGTTTCGGGTTTGTATGGCAGAAGATAAAATTACTGTAATACAACCATATGGCAGAAGATAAAATTACTGTAATACAACCAATGTATCTACAACTTTTACACTGATTTTGTCTAATACAATATATTTCTGTATGTAATCAAAAGTTGCCTGTAACTTTGTTAAAGTGAAAATAGTGTTAAATGCTAATTTTGATTACTTCTCTTGTAAATATAAATAGATCATAATATTCATGAAAAAAGGATCCAACACTGGCTGCCTGGAGTACAGTTTGGAATATTTCACTCTTTAAGTAAACTATGAAGGTTCAACTCGGCATAACCTCATCTTAACTGGCAACTGTAAGACTATTATAACACACCTCTACCAAGCAGCCACCTGTGGTAAAACCAGGCACTCTGATCATCTGGGTCAGTGAAGAATGCATTCTGAACTGTCTCATGTTCTGTAATATAAATTTAAATCTAATATCATAAATGCAGTGCTTTAATTTGTAAAATGAACTTTTCTTTAGACAATTTCATTGTTTATGTGATCATACACTCAAATAAAGCAGACAACAGGAAAGTTATTTTTAGGCCAGCTACTTGTCTGGAAAACACTATTGACAGTGATGTACATGTATCAATTTTCATACCTTTAATGAGTACACCTTCCTCAACACCCACTGACGTACTATCATCAGGATAAATGATGGGTAAAAGTTTACTTCTGTAATGCCACGATGAAAAGTTGGAAAAATTGTTACAAATTTTGTTAGTGGTAAACTCAAGCTCCTCTTCTGGAGATATTTCAGCTTTCTTGACAACAAACCGCCGATAGTCCCAACAATGAACTGAAAAATACAGTCATAATACATGTTGATGATTCTACCTAACAAATCAACTCCACTAACAAAACAAAATGTTCATCAATGTTGCTACCAACCAATAATATTGCAAAGGTTGTCAATTTCATAAGCAGATGATCAAGAAAAAAGGTCTCTCTCTATAGCCATAACAGAATTTCACTTAAGTTTAATCATTTATATTTTCAAGGTCAATTGAGAAGTTGGAGATTACTGGTAAAATTTCAACGAAGAAGGAAATCATATTGTTCCTATTTTTAATAATAAAATTTAGTTAAATGTACTGAAAACTGTTGGCACTTAGCTTCTATAATGAGTGTTTTGTAAAATATTTGTCTTGGTTACACAACGCTAAATTCTAGTGGTCCAAGAAAAACATTATAGTGTCCACTCAGGCAGTAACTTAACTTTTTTATTGGATTGCTGACTTCATCATGAATTTTATATTATTTAAAAGGCCTGCAGGTAAAAAAAGAGGGAACAAATTTATTTATAACATATAACGTTATGAGCTGCCAAGCTAATTTCAGTAATTTCCTAAACTAAGTATAATCTAATTCTTACAACAATTTACTGATATCTACACACTGTTTCCTTTATCATTTACACATAACATAACAACTTTATAACATAAAGAAAGATTACTCACAATTTCTCTCATCATAATCCAGGAAGAGATTACAGAGTTGTAGTTCTTGTTTCCAGTCAGGTTTTGCCATGGTTTCCATGACAAAGCATCGATGATTCCATACACCATATGATTTAGGATTCAACCTAAGACAAGCCTCCAAGAACTGTAACTCTTCCTTAAATAACTCATGCAACTCATCCTCTGGTCTGATAATGACAAAAAAAATATAAACTATTGGAATTTTTTTTTTAAATATAATAAAATTATGATAAATTTGTTTTCAAAATTAATAATCTAAACAATACCACATTGAAACTTATTCTATTATTACTGGATACCATATCATACATTAAGTTACATTCTAAATACGTTTTGTAAATATGGCATTGATAAATTGCAGAGTTACCTTATGGCCTATACATAATGAAGTAACCATTTTAAGGTATACCATAAAGGGTGTTTTTTCTCTCTATATTATGAGAATGCTGAATAAGACAAGGGGCGAAATAGTAAACTGATTTGTACCGGACTTTCAAAACCCTGATAACACATGTACAAACTAAAAGGCTTTCAAACAAGTTATCATAAAACAAAAACAAATGTTTCCTAAATAAATGTAATGATTTGGTTGATATATGAGCATAAAACTAGAAATCTAAGTTTGAAGTGAGAAAACAATATAACAGATCTATAACATCAGGAGGTACTTACTTATTATCTTTAAAATGTAAGAAAATCTCTTTTCTGTAGTTCCATAGTGAAGAAAAGTCAGGGTTCATAGATAAAATCTCTCCAGTTATCTTCAGAGCTTCTCCATCATATTCTTTATTCTTTCTCTGATACAAAAAACCAACAACAGGGATTATCTGTTAAGATGCTTTTAAATAAGTCTATCTGTTTTTGATTATTAACAGCATTTCACTGAAAGTAGAACTTTCGCTTTTTTTTAATGAAAACGACATTTTTTTAATGAAAACAACAAAAAGAAACCCCTGATATTAGCATAATGATACACTAACTGTATAAAATATTCTAGTTAAGTATGTGTAACATAGCATTTCCTTGTCAAAATGCTTTTACAGAATCAATTGTAAAAACATTAATTATTTCAATATTCAAAAATTAACTTTTACATTTTTAATAATCATTAAAAGAATTTCATTGTTGTATAATAGACAGGCCTGATTTTGAGAATTTGGCCCTCTATAAGATGCTAGAGGCATTTTGTAGTACAAGTAGTATCTTGGTGTATCTTACCTATTTAAGGTATGCTGAATCCGATAAAGGTGGATACCAAACTGAAAAACTTGATCTTGACCATTGAAATGGCCATTTAAAGTGACCACTAAAATGGCCGCCAAATTTCTTTATCATAAATGGATGATATATCAAATAAAACTTTTAAAGAAAGGAAAAGCCTGAAATTTGTCACAAAGCATGTTTAGGTAAAAACAAATTAGACACCAAAACAGAATTTAAAAAAGCCAATCCAATATGGCCGAAAAAATCCAAGATGGCGGACATTTTCTTAAGGCCAATATAGGAACCGCCGAATTTCTTTATCATAAATGGATGATATATCAAATAAAACTTCTAAAGAAAGGAAAAGCCTGAAATTTGTCACAAAGCATGTTTAGGTAAAAACAAATTAGACACCAAAACAGAATTTAAAAAAAAGCCAATCCAGTATGGCCGAAATAACCAAGATGGCGAACTTAAGGCCAATATACCCGGCTACAGATTGTCCATGGACAGCCTTAAAATGACCATGGATATCCATGGATATCCATGGAAAGAGCATGGAAATACATGGATAAGTCAAGTGAATGGACAGTGTCCATACTAACAAACATGGATAACATGGACGATGTCCATGGATAACATGTACAATGTCCAGGGAATATAAAAATGTTCATGGACATAGTACAAAAAAACTATGTCTAATGTGGACATTGTCCATGGTCAACTTCATTGCTCATACTTAGAAATTTTTATCAAAAGTGATTGGATGGATATGCAAAAAAAAATCTAAGTGCCAAAACATGAAAAATGTTTAAAAAAATTATAACTGCCATTTTTAAAAAAATTATATGTTCATATTGGGTATCAAATTATTCAGCATGAAAAGAAGAAATCAAATATAGTAAGATCAAGTAGATTTTTATTTTTATTTTATTTTTTTTAAATTCCAAACTTCAGTTAAATGATTATATAGAAAAACATACTGTACCCTTATGCATACCATTTCAATTATATAAAAAGATAATCTACTCACTACTTGTAGACTTGTTTAGTTTTGTTTGTTTCTGTTTTTGTGGTTCATTATCATATATTATCCTAATTAAGTTAGAAAAATAAATACACAATTTAATAGAAACAATTTAAATTTAAGAACAAATGTAATTGTTATGCACTTATATTTCTTTATTTATTTTTGATAAATTAATTATTATTATGTATCTCTATTGAAGTATATATAATTCATATATTCATCCTGTGTAGATGTAACTTATGTATATAGTGATTAATTTCTGGAACATTCAAATTAGCATCAGCCACAATGTCAACATTTATGACCCCTCAAGTGGAACCTGCTGTTTTCATAACTACCAAAGTTAAACTCACCTATCTGATATAAGAGAATAGAAAGAGGTAAAGCAGGTTTACTACATACTATATTACACTGTAGCTCCCAAGTAACTTAATACCCTTGCAGAACAAATCACAGGTCAGAACACTCCTTCCAGGCGGGTCATTTGAACAGAAGCATTGGAAGATTCTGTTTATTAGTGCCTATACTGCTTAAAAGTTATAACTTGAAATATTATGTTGGAGCATTGGAAATTAGACAAAATGAGTTTAAACTGGACAAATTTACAAGAGTTTTCTGGAAATATGAACTTTTAAACATGTGTATTTCATGATTCAGTTAAAATGGAGGGAATAACATGTATATAACCATTTCTAACAGTAAGTACAAATGTATTTTTATTTTTTAACACTTATTATTTTAGTTTTTTCAAACTTTCTTTGCAAGTATACACTGTTTCAGTTATTGTGTTTCTACATACATGTAACTTTTCAATATAAATAGTTAAGAAAATCTTTTTCATTTTTAAATAATGGCGGGAAATTTTAAATCAGAGATTACAATTTTCCATTCAAAATATTGGTGATTGATCAAGCAATGAATTTCCAAATTCACATTTAATAAAATTCATAATATGTCTTAATTGTAATTTCTTGTTACTCATGTACATATGTTATTTTTTTCAACATATTAGGTTGCAAACTTTCAAGTCTTGGAGTCACATGAGATGTTTCAACTCAAAGGATGTCAGATGACGGAAAAGTGATAAATGTACTGTTGAATACAGAATGCTTTCAAAACCATCCTGGTAATAATTTAGTTTGTTTTGTTGAAAAAATCGAAGTAACATGTTTTCATATAAATGCATGTTATTTTTCAAAGTCTGAACAAAATGTTGTTCTTCATGTTTTATACATATATTATTGTTATACTGACTCCACTGAACAAATCTCAAACTTTCAGTGGTAATTAAGTACTTGTGAAGGATTGAGTAATTTAAACTGCCATAACATAAAAGTTGTCATTATATAAATATAGGAAAAGCAGGGAAATAATTGACACAAGTTTATCATAATGTTGATTTTGACCAAAAATGAATCATTTTCATCAAAGAGCATGGTGTTTACTTGATAACTCTGTGCTGATATTCTGCAAAAATCATTTAATTGAAAGTTTTCCATCTTAACTTTTTTTACCCTTTCATGTTTTTTATCAATCATGTTTAAACAATACTAATTATGTTGTAAAGGGCAACCTCGTTAATCGTTAATACAAATGGTGTTATGTTATGAATAAAGCTCAAAAATGCTACAAATGTTTTCAGTAATAAAATTGATAACAAAGAATCCAAAAGAACTGAAAAGGCCAATATTACATTTCAGGACCAACTGCAGATCAAGGTTATTGGCATAACAAGCTACAGTAAGATGGCCATTGTTCTATTCCGCTTTTTGTATAAAGAGGAGGAATATGCCTGAAAATCATTGACAAGGAAAGCATCCAAAAGTGGCGAAAAAAGGCCACCTGTTGACCAAGAAAAGTTGACATGAATTTACGGTCAGTGTTTCTTTTTTTTTTTCTTTCTTGGTTATTTAAATTTCATTGAAAGTTTTTGAATTTCATTGGAAGTTTTTAACAGGAATTGAAAATTTTTTTCATAGCCAATCGTCTTGCAGGACAAGTGTCTTCAAATTGCTACTTGTCCATGTAGATAATTTGAATTGTTATATTCAAGGGTTAAGTATATTACATTGATTTGTCAAGTCAATATTTATATAATTTGTTTTGTTCTTTACAGATATCATCAAAAGGAATTTTCTGCATGTCACACCAGTGATGGTCAGGGAAAAGCTGCGTGACATTGTCAAGCCATCTCGTGCCAACAAAACAGTGGAACAATAAATATGTGTACAAAATAAACTGTGGCCGTTTTAGCCATTCAGAACAATATAAATGAGAACATTTGAGAACTTGTTTTACTTCATATATGGTGTAAATAAATCTTTAATGTGTCATAATTTTACAGCCTTGTCAATTCAAAATCATTGTTACACTAGTGCAACTCCCAAGTGAAAAAGATTGTGTGGGACCTTTTTTTTACAGACTTTTAAACAGGTATCTCAACACAAGTGTGATATCATGGACATTGACCATGGATGTCATAAAAGATTCCTCAAAATTGGTTTTGAACATGGATAGAATGGACATTGTCCATAAAAAGAATGGACATTGTCCATGGAAAGAATGGACATTGTCCATGGACATCATGGACATTGTCCATGGTAAGAATGGACATTTTCCATGGACATCATGGACATTGTCCATGGGTATCATGGACAATGGACATGGAAAGCATGGACATGGATAGCATGGACACTGTCCAGGGATATAAAGAATTGTCCATGGACAAGTGTTTCAATACTCCATGGACACTGTCCATGCTTATATCCATGGAAATCCATGGACATTCTGTAGCCGGGATAGGAACTGCCGAATTTCTTTATCATAAATGGATGATACATCAAATAAAACTTTTAAAGATAGGAAAAGCCTAAAATTTGTCACAAAGCATGTTTAGGTAAAAACAAATTAGACACCAAAACAGAATTAAGATAAAGCAATCCAATATGGCCGAAAAAATCCAAGATGGCTGGCATTTTTCTATAGGCCAATATAGTAGTAATATTAAAGATTATGAGTGCTGAATACTTTAAGGCATTTAAGCATAAGAGACTAGAATGTAAGAGATAAAAATTCTAGAAAGTCCCTACTCCCTTGAACCATCACTATATTTAGGGTTTACGCAGGGAACACTACACTCTTCCCTGCCCTATCTGCTAAATATAGAGCTTTCAAGTATTTTATCTGGCACACTATATAAGCATATAGAGTGGCTACTCAGATTCCTACTTATATTTGCACAGCACTATATGCCAGTATTTCTTTCAACAAGGTTTTTAAACTTGACTAACCACCTGAGAAATTTCTTAATAGTTTACTCTTACTCCTCAGAGCTGCCCAATGCAATTCATTCATTGCGATATTGAAATTCAGGCAATATTAAGTGAGATGATTAATATTGTCATTAGAAATTTAAAACCAATATCACTTATAACAGCTCAGATTTAATTTTGCTTCACTAAAGGAGTTCTTATTACTGTCAAACAACCGTATCCTCCCATGCATGCACTGGTTTCCATGTCAGATGTCAGTGAATGAGGCTTCGTCTTGAGACTAATGCATCAT